TGCCGGGAGCCTGTTTCTCGGAATCTGCTGGTAATGTAGTGAAATGACACAATTCAGTGGAATGGAGCAGGCGGAATATGCCCAACCCTCCCAGATAAAATGATGTTAATGTAGTGAAATGGGGCATCCATGTTCTCACTATCTGACCTTCTTGGGTTCAATTCCTGGTGGGGCCTGAGCAGCCTACATGAAGGGATGTGTTCTAGCGATGCCATTGTCATTGCGGGGGAAATCACTGTAGAAAGGATTCTGTGCAAGCAAGGCCGTTTACATGTATTTAGAGCTTTGCATACTCAGGAATTCTGAAATTTAAAATTGCCACCGCCCCCATTGCGAAAGCCACCGCCACCGCTGCCGCCGCGGCCGCCAAGCCAACCCTGCCGCTGCCTCTGGCATTGCCAACCAGGCCCACCACCGCCGCTGCTGCTGCGCCGACAGCCACCACCCCCCCACCCCCACCCCAGCGCGACCCAGCCATCCACCGCCACTATCCAGCAAGCAAGCAAACGCGCCTGCCCCAGGCACGCCGCAGCCAATACCATCACCGCGGCCACCGCCCCCCCCCCCTCCCGCCCCCCGCCCAGCATTGCCCCACCACTATCGCTGTCCCCGCCGCTGCTGTTGCCGCCCCACCAAAGGCACCGCCGCCCACACCGCGATCGCTCCCACTGCCACTGGCTGCCCAGCCGCCACCACCTCGGCCGCCGCTTGTTTGAAGCACCCAGCGCCGCGGCTCCCAGTACCTTTTCAGCCCCCACAGCGGCCGCGCTCGCCGCAGCCGCTGTTGTCGCCACTGCCACCGCCCATGCAAAGCCACTACCAACACTGCGGCGACCACGGCCGCCCCCCCCCCCCTCGCGGCTGCGCCCACCGTTGCTGCCGCACTGCCACCGCGCACACAACCGCTACCCCCGCCACCGCTGCCGCCGCGGCCGCCAACCCTGCCGCTGCCTCTGGCATTTCCAACCGGGCCCACCACCGCCGCCGCTGCTGCGCCGACAGCCACGACCCCCCGCCGCACCCCCACCCCCCCCCCAGCGCGACCCAGCCCCGCCGCCACTATCCAGCAAGCAAGCAAACGCGCCTGCCCCAGGCACGCCGCAGCCAATACCATCACCGCGGCCACCGCCCCCCCCCGGCCCCCGCCCAGCATTGCCCCACCACTATCGCTGTCCCCACCGCTGCTGCTGCCGCCCCCGCAAAAGGCACCGCCGCCCACACCACGATCACTCCCACTGCCACTGGCTGCCCAGCCGCCACCACCTCGGCCGCTGCTTGTTTGAAGCACCCAGCGCCGCGGCTCCCAGACCTTCTCAGCCCCCCACAGCGGCCGCGCTCGCCGCCGCCGCTGTTATCGCCACTGCCACCGCCCATGCAGAAAGCCACTAACAACACTGCGGCGACCACAGCCGCCGCTCCGCCCCCCCTCCCCCCCCCTCACGGCTGCGTTCACCGTTGCCGCCGCACTGCCACCGCGCAAGCCACCGCTACCCCCGCCACCACCACCACCACAACGACGACGACGACCACCACCACCACTACTAGAATAGGGGACGTGCCATAGAATAGGGCAATCATATGCCCTCCTTCCCCTGTATGTGCCGAATTGTAGTAAAATGGGGAATATTTCTTCCCATAATCTGACCTTCTTGGGTTCAATTCCTAATGGTGCCTAGGGTTTCCAGCGAGCTGCGGATTGCCCGTGCGCCTCCCACCCCCTGGGGGAAACCGGAGCTTCGTGGGGGCTGGGCTGGCTCTGGTGGGGCGGGCCTGCAGGGGCTGGGCGCGGCCCTGAGGCAGGCGCGGGGCCACGCATCTGGAAGCAGAAGCGGGGGCAACGCAAACAAAAGACAAAAAACCATCGAACAGCCGGGCTTGTAAGACCACGCCCGGCAAAAGAGCAAACCAAAACGTCGACCTCCCGGCCTTGTAAGACCACGCCCGGCATATGATATGATGCGCTATGCGATGCTATGCTGTGCTATGCTGTGCTATGCTAAGCAGTGCTATGCTATGCTATGCTATGCTGCGCTCTGCTATGCTATGATATGCGATGCTATGCTGAGCTATGTTATGCTATGCTATACTATGTTGTGCTAATGCTGCGCTGCGCTATGCTGCGCTAAGCTAAGGTAAGCTAAGCTATGCTAAGCTAAGCTAAGCTAGGTTAGGCTAAGCTAAGCTAAGCCAAATTAAGCTAAGCTAAGCTAAGATGAGATACGCTAAGCTAAGCTAAGCTAAGCTAGGCTAGACAAAGCTAAGCTAAGCTAAGCTAAGATGAGATAAGCTAAGCTAAGCTAAGCCAAGCTAAGCTGGGCGAACCCAGGGGACGTAACTGGGGGAACCGCGGGGAGGATCCTGGGGGAACCGCGGGGCGGATGCCGGGGCAACCGCCCGGGGCGGGGAACACTGCCCGGCCCCTCTAAGCTCTAGGGTAAGAACCCTTCTAGGCAGAGCCCAGGTAGGGAATAAAACGCACATGCGCACATGCCGCAGAGTCGAAACATCGGAGGAGGAGGGAGGGACAAATGAGCAGGAAAGAGAAATGAGGGGAGAAGAGAGGGGAATGAAGGAAGCTAATGCGGCTAGCACTCGAACTGAAACACCATACCCGCCCCATAAAGGATGCGGCATGATATAACACCCATCCAACGCAAGGATGGGGCCAGCGCTCCGGTAATGTACATCATGCGAGGATGTCTCAGGCGAAAAGGGCCTGACCACCTGAGCGCAAGGCATCTCGGAACCCAGAGTTGTGAGGATGTCTCAGGCGAAAGTGGCTGGACCACCATAGAGCAGGGCATCTCCGAGGTCAGAGTTGCGGGGATGCCGCAGGCGAAAGTGGATGGGTCACCTGAGCTCAGGGCATCTCCGAGGCCAGAGTTGCGGAGTTGTCTCAGGCGACAGTGGCCTGACCACCTCAGCGCAGGGCATCTCGAACCCAGAGTTGAGAGGATGCTTCACGCGAAAATAGCCAGGCCACCATGTGACACGGCATCTCGGAGGTCAGCGCTGCGAGAATGCCTCAAGCCAAAGTGGCCCCACCACAGTAGGGCACGGCATCTCCGAGGCCAGAGCCTGACTGCCGCGGGAAACTTTGGGACTCCCCCTCAGGCCCCGAAGGTCTCGAAGCGCTGAAGGCCCTTGTAGTAGGGAGCCCTGAAAATTCCGAGAACGCATGTGCGCGCATGTGCATCGGCATGTGCGAGCATGTGCGGGCGCGGGAACCAGCGCGTGTGCGTGCATGTGCGGGCCCGCGCTGTCGTCCGCAGGGGGGGGGACACATGCGAGTGCGTGCATGTGCCACTGGCCGATCTGCGAGTTCCGCACATGTTCCGCATGTGCGGGCATGTACGTGCATGTGCACCGGCATGTGCGAGCATGTGCGGGCGCGGGATTCAGCGCATGTGCGTGCATGTGCCATTGACCGATCAGCGACGTTCGCACAAGTTCCGCATGTGCGGGCACGCGCGTCGGCATGCGCGGGCATGTGCGTTACAACGCATGCAGCACAACCCAAAGCACATAACCCCGCACATGCCCGGGCACGCGCGCACAATCAAACATTCATCGAAAAGCGCCCGCACATGCCGGGCACATGCCTGGCACATGCTGCGCAAATGCACGCACATGCCCGCGCAAAAACGGCCGCACATACCCACCCAGGGATATAGAAGTGAGTGCGGTGTAATTCTCACCGACGTGCCGAGCACCCCCATCGGAACCAAGAGCCCGAGCTGCCAAAGCGAGGACGCGCCAGCATGTATGGGGAATGTGTGCATGACCGATGGCGCTGCCAGCGATGCTTCAAGAACTTTCGATCTCAGCTCCTCCCGCCCCCCAGGGGTTGTCCTGGCGATAAGACGGGGTGGGATTTCGGGGAGATGGAGCGCCTCGGTCATTTCGTTGTAGGGCTGCCGTGCGACAGGGGAGAGACGCCCCATATCTGCTCGACAGGTGCTTGCGTTTGCGGCTCTTGATATTTGAAGAAGTCCAGCACATCGGGCAAGTGTGTGCCCAAGTTGATTGACGTCCCAGAAATACAGCAGGTGGAAGAGGGTTTTGAGGCCTGCGCCCGAACCACCGCTCGACGATTCGGGTGGACTCGAGCGGGCCACGCGGCGAACACGACGAATGCCACGCACACTGCAACAAAAGCGCTGCGCGCCCGCTGCGCGTGCTTCCATCCCCTGCAGATGTCGCCGGCTCGCCTGTACATGTGTTTTGTGGTGTGCTCGGCGTGCGTGCATTCCTGAAATGGCAACTGCAGTTCGAGCTCATCTGGTTCCCCAGAAGCGTTCTTGGGGCTATCTGCAGTGGCAGTCCCCTTGGAGGGCTCTTAATCTCCTCACAGATCCACATGGTCCTCCTCCTCGTCCCTTATCCCTGCTGCTCCTCCTCCTCCTCCTCCTCCTCCTCCTCCTCCTCCTCCTCCTCTTCCTCCTTGCCGCCCCATCCGCCCCTCGCTCGCCTCCCCTGTCCCAAACAAATGGCATCCTCGTCCTGCTCTTTCCCGTCTTCCATCCCTCCAGCGTCAGCTCAGCTCGGCGGCCCTCGGCCGCTTCGAGCATGCGCCATCGGCAACCATCGGCCGCTGTCCCTACTCTTGCTCGTCCTCTTCCTCGTCCTCTTCACTGCTCCTCCTCCCCTGTCACCCCTCCCCTCCCTCCTCTCATCCTTCCTCCCTCCCTGCTCCACCGTCATCATCAGCATCCTCTCTCCTACGTCATCTTCCTGGTCTCCCTGCCTTCGCAAACATGAGGCGATCGAAACAGCGACAGGCATCCAACGCAGTGGATGACCACTGGGACAGTACGAACAGTGCGTGAGGACGACGGGGGAAGGACTGCCCCGCGAGTCCTCCCTTCCTCCTCCTCCTCCTCCTCCTCCTCCTCCTCCTCCTGGACGGGGGGGCGGGGGGTGTTTCGAAAGATGCCAGCACTTCCTGTTCTTCCTCCACCCCATTTGAAAAGGCACAGGCGGAATGGCTATATTGCCTCCTGTATCATGCTCGCGGACTTCTTGAGTATCTCGCCGAGAGCGGATCGGGAACGGCGAGTGGGGGGGCTAAAGAGATACGTGAACTCAAACGTTAACTTCACGATGCAAGACAGGGATGCACGACCCTTCGACGTCTATGCAAGACCCCAAGTCCCAGAGCGCGTAAGGACCGAAGCAACCCTTGCAGAAGCACTCCGTTGTTGAACGTATGCTTGTCTGTAGACTCCAGAGGGTAAGGGATGATAAGGGGGCGGGCGAAGAGGAGGTGGCGGGAACAGGAAAGCAGGGACAGCAGAGGTCGAGAGGAGGAGGATCACACAGAGCAAAAAGAGGCCGCTGCAAAGGCGAGGGGTCGGGTTTGCCACGGCGGGGATGAGAGTGCAATGGGGAAGGCCCTCTGACATCCGACATCGTGAAACACAAATCAATCGTCCTTGAAAACTCGGCCAGAAATGTCGACCCAACCCGTCTGCACCAATCGAGCTGGATCGATCCGTCAGCGCCCTGGGGCACGAAACGGGGCAGAAGCGCCCGTGGCAGTTTTTTTCACGACGCCCGCACCCAAGGGTGCCCTCTTCTGCTCCAATGCCTTCCCTTCCTTCTACGCACACCAGCAGGACAACATTAAGATTTAGGGCACACTGTCACACCTCGACCACTCGACCTAGGCGAAGGAGAATTCGCAAAACATGTGAATAGTTCTGCGACTTAGGGATGACGCTGACTCCGCACATACATTCGAGACTCCTGTCCATCCGAATGATAATTCTTAGTGTCTCACACGTTGAAAAATGTAGTGGTCAACGGTGCCTCCTACGTCCATTTGTGCCAGACAGCATGATTGCCGAGACGACGTATTCGGCCAATCTGCTCGCATGGAATACAGTCAACCCGTATCATAAGGACGCATGATGAGGATGCAAGGGCCTTGGAAGGCCATGTCGAAGCTTTTCGAGCGGGGCCCAACCAGCGACAGTGGCCAAGGATGGGCCGAGATGCAAGGGTACCCTTGGAAAGGATGTCCATTCTTACTGTGCGGGTTGACCGTACCTTGCCGAATCCAGAAGCCCTTCACCCCCGACATGCTACAATCTCGCCTTTGCATCTGCCGAACTTCGGACAGCCTCCGCTGTTGTGTCCGCCGCGGCGTTGCCTCCACCAGCCCCCGCCGACGACGAGATGCAGCGAAGGCCAGGCCCTTTTATCTGGAGCGTCTTGCCTTAGGTCGGGCATATCCTCCTACAAGCGTATGTTGGAAGAAACGTAAAAAGTCGCAAAACTCAAACATGATCAAACGAGAACGAAAAATCGTCTCCAGGCTGCACATTTACTATTCTTGAATACTCCTCCTGTAGAGGGGCATGTCAGACTTAAGTCTTGTCGGTGTTGTTGTTTGTTGTGATCTCTCTCTCTCTCTCTCTATCTCTCTGTCTTCCTCGAGGGACTCGGCGACGTCGTATTCATGTTATCCGACACCAGACATCAGAACTTAGCCACTCGGCATACGAGGCACGTCGCCATCCCAACCATCCTGTTGTGCTGGGACCCTCGCTGTGAACCAACGGCGCCGCACCCCACACCTTCCCACCGTCCCACCTCTCCTCCGCCTCCTCCTCCTCCCTCCCTCCCTCCCTCCCTCCCTCCTCCTCCTCTTCCTCCTCCTCCTCCTCCTCCTCCTCCTCCTATTCCTCCTCCTCCCATTTTTCCTCCTCCTCCTCCTCCTCCTTCTTCTCCCATTCCTCCTCCTCCTCCTCCTCCTCCTCCTTTGCCCCTCTCCTCTCCGCGCGCCCCCAGTTACCGCCCACACGCTGCATGGCATCGTAGGAAACTCCACCGACGGTCTCGGAAGGGGGGCGCAGTCTTATGGCGACAGCCTCCTACACCTTACGCCCCATCATAAGGAACTCCACCTACGGCCTCAGGGGGCGCAAACGCATGGCGGCACTGCACCCATCTCGGCCCAACCACCACACACACACACACACCACACCACACCACACACACACACACACACACACACACACGCGCGCGCGCGCGCGCGCGCGCCCCCCCCCCCCCCCCACCCACCCACACACACACACACACACACCACACACACCACACACATTCACGCATACACACATATACACAAACATACATACATATATACATACATGCCCAAACCCATACATACATACACCCACTCCACTACACTATACACTACATTACATTACATTACATTACATTACATCACATTACATTACATTACGTTACATTACATTACCGTACATTTCATTTCATTTCATTACATTACAGTACGCTACACTACATGGCATTACATTGCATTGTATTACATTGCATTACAGACATACAAAATACTTACACACATACGTACACATACACACATGCATACATACATGCACACATACATACACACACGTCCATACATACATGCATACGTACGCACGTACATACATACATATACACGTACATACACACATATATGCATGCATGCATGCATGCATACATACATATATATATACATACACATACGTACACACATCCAACCATACATGCCTGCATATACGCATACACACATACGTACATAATACATACATACATGCATGTATACATACGTACGTACATACATACAGACCTACCTACCTACCTACCTACCTATACATACATACATACGCACGCGCACACGCACACGCACACGCACACGCACACGCACACGCACACGCAAACGGACGCGAACGCGCCCGCGCACACGGACGCGCACGCGCACGCGCACGCGCAAACGCACACACACACACACATACACACACACACACGCGCGCACGCACACAACGCACACACATACACACACAGACACGCGCACACGCACACACACACACACACATACAGACCACACAGCAAAACCGTGCCACGCAAAGGAGCCGACGCGGTGGCCGTTGCCGACTCCTCCTGCCCACGGAGAGCAACGAGGGGCATCGGGGGCCAGAGGCCGCCGCCTCGCGGCATTGTGTCAGGAGGGTATGGCGGTGCCGCGCCGCGAGCATGCTCTGGCCAGCAGTGGGGATGAGGCTGATGATGATGCTGATGATGATGACGACAACGATGGTGAGGATGAGGATGTTGCTGATGATGGTAATGCTGATGATGATGGTGCTGATGATGCTGATGGTGGCGGTGATGAGGAGGATGAGGATGAGGATGAGGAGGAGGACGAGGAGGAGGAGGACGAGGAGGAGGAGGACGAGGAGCGAACGTGGCCTCTGGGGGGGCGGCTCTTCGCTACTAGCCGCGAGCAGCGCCAGCTGCGCTGCTGAAAGCCGTTCGCTCGCGCAGCCTCGCTCCGATATGGACAACGGGTGGCGAGGACGCCGAGGCGGCCGCTTGCGCACCAGTGGGGGCGGCGGTCGGACGGCAGGGAGACGGGATCGCTAGACGCTAGAGGACGGGGAAGACGGCGGTCGGGGAGGAGCGGGGGTACACCCTGCGAAATGCTTAAGAAATCATGGGTTAAGAAATTCGTAGTCTCAGAAACCCAACATTTCTATTAAAATCTTGGGATTTACATTGAAACATTAAGAATAATCGAGACTCTGGTCGAAATCTTAAGTTTTCTTAAGCATCGCCTAAGGTGTACGGCTGCAGGGCAGGCTGCGGGGCAGGCTGCGGGGCAGGCCGCGCGCGACGCCGCCGTGGGACGAGACGGGGAGGCGCAGAGCGAAGCGGGTCGCGCGGGTGGCCTGAACCTGGCTCACGTATGAACCATCGGCCTCGGAATCCCTGTAGGCGTGGTACATGTGGTAGGAAACGGCCACGTGGGTCAAGACATGGTCGAGGTGGCCGTCGGCTGCGGGATCTGCGTCGAAGTTCACGTCGTGTAGTCCGAGTCGGACCAGAGCGCAAAAGTGGAAGCGCCCGCGCGGAAGCGTTCCGAGATGACAAATCCGAGGGCAAGTGATGTAGTGGCTGATGGAATCAGAGAAGAAACGGGCGTCGCAACCAAAACGGCAAGCGCGCCAGACAAACTGCACGTGGAGTCGACGAGAAGTTGCCCAGCCTCCCGCAAGAGTCATCGCAGGCCACATCATTGAAGGAGGAAGGCGAGCCACGCGTGAGTGGAGGCGCCGCCATGCTGTGCGAATCGAGCCATGCAGTTGAATGACTGACATCATCTCATTGAAAGCCGCCGCCTCTTGCGCAACGTCGTGCCAATGGAGCCCGAGGGATCGTTCACGGGGTCCGTGGTCAGGATGAGTCGACGTCTCTGGGTATGATCGTGTACAGCAGTTCATCGTGGTGATGGAGTTCAGCAGGCTGTGGAGTCAGACGTAACGCCCTTTCCCTCTGGTAACGACTGGCGAGGGAGTTTTGCCCTGCTTCTGCGCGCATCCATCGAGCGCGATCTCGAAGATGGCGTTCACTTTCGCTGTAGGAGAGCTTGTAACCCCTGCCTTCGGAGTACTATCGTGAGGTATCGTTCGCACCAGCGAGTCCAATCACTCTCGTTCCTGATGTTGTCGCTCTCCAGGAATAGGTCGGGTGGCCAGTCCGATGCCCAGCGCTCCAGAACTTCAGCGACTGCGGCAAGCTCACGCACCGCCCCTTCGATGTCGTCGCGTTATCATCGCGCGTTGGTAACGGCGCCTGCACTGAGAGAGAGGCGGATATTGCCACCGAAGATGTAGTTCTCGAGAGGAGGGCTCGCGCGCAAGTGACGCAGTGGTCGGAAGTTGAGGGGGCCGCGAGCGCGGCCGCTTCGGGATCGCGATGCCCACCTTGTCGTCGTAGATCTGGCGCTGGAGCGCGCGCTTGCGGAGGCAGGGGGCGAGCGCGCGGCGCTTGATGCCCCTCTTTGTGGAGGTTGGAGTGAAGAAGCGCCTGGGCATTCCAACCTACCACGGGCGCTTCCGAGCGCGATGGCCCCGTGCGCCGCGGCGACACGGCGTCTGCGAAAGCCAGGACACGGCGGCGGCGGGGTCTGCCAAAGGCTGCTGCGAGCGTCTCACCGATTCCGCTCCGAGCACGAAGGCCCCAC